GTAAAGAAGAACATGAGAGCTTCAAACTACAGTACACAGTTGCGGCGGCGGCAGAAAACCGTGCCATCTTGCAGCCGTCCACTGCCATTGAACCGGACGTTTGTCACACCGTTGCTGTCAAGTCCTTACATTATATTGAAGTAGCTGAGTACCCGTCCTTCGTACGGGGTTGGTATACAATGCTTATTGTAGTTAAATACTCGTGCTTTACATTTGCAATGAGAGAGGACACGTTTTGAGAAAATTTGGTTTACTATAATCTACGGTATACTATAGTATATAGAACATCTACCATAGCCATAATGTTCTACCACTTCACCTAAACAATAGAAAGAAGTAAAGTTCTCACATTCAGGTTTTTGTTGCTGCTTGGTTCAAATTAGCTGTTGTCATAAATGTATAAAGAACTAATGGTTTCTGCACCCTGTTGGTAAACCGTATAACCTTTTAATGCTATTGAGTATCATAGAAACAAATTGTGCAGTTGAAACAGCTCGCAAAATTATTTAATTCCTTTTAAATATGAATACTTATAAGGTTAACATGGGAAACTCTAGAGCCGCTGGGGCGGAGCCCGAAAGGATTTTTGAGGTAAGAATATGTCTATATGTTAATCGGGAATGTGAGCTATCATCATGCCAAATTTCAACACAATCCGACCAGTAGTTAATGTGTGATTTAACTTCAAACAAACAAACAAATAAACAAAACAGAAGATGCATAGCTCATTTTATTCAACCATTATCTTCACTGAGTGAAAATATACACATAAACACTGCGGAACAGTTGCAAATGTTTATCGTTTACAATTTAACCTGTCAATTGGACACTGTTTATTTTTATTGACATTGTAAAAACATTTATCTCACCGTTTGGTTAGAAATTGTGTAGTATGAAAGAAACATGGACACGATAAAAAACATACTGTCTCCAACCAGACAGCAAAAGTCGAAAGGAGTGTTAGTAAAAATTAGCTACACACATTCACACTCACACATAAATCATCTCACACTCCTTTCTCCACTCATCCTTGCTCATATTTGGGTTAAAATACACACCTAGGTGGCATTCCCATCTCAAATGATAATGATAATGAATATAGAAGGTAATTTTGGTATTAAAGAAAATTATGGAAGAGAAACATTTTTTTTTATTTCATAAAACTACACAATTCTTCTTTGTTCAGTAAATACCTCTGCCGCAGCAAACCTGCAGGGTAAGCGAATTTCCATTTACCTGATTGGATTTTCAATTAAATATATTTAAATAACTTTAGGTATAACGAGTACCTGGGTTGCTTCTACAGGTAGGGTAATAAAGCGTGTTTTTTAGTAAAACTTTAGTAGCTTAGTATATAAATAAATTTTACAAGTTTTATCAAAATCAAGCAAACTACAAAAGTTTACTTATTCTCCATAAGAATAAAATGGGATTTTTAAGTTTACAGTTTATTAAATTTTCTCTGTAACCAATAAAAATCCCTTTAATATACTAAATTATTTGTTTTTAAGCTCCTTAAAAAGGTTTAATGAGAAATTGGGAAATTTTATGTTTTGAGGGTCAAAATTTAAATTTAAAGTTCGAACCCATTCAACTTTATCCTTAGACCTTAAAACCAAATTTAATCAAAATCGAACAATAATTGCTCAAGTTATCGTGTTCAACATTAGTCCACATCAGTGCTCTCTAGTGTTGTTTGTTTATCACACAATATGAAAATTGGGATGAGAAGTAAACTTTCATGATTCAAAGCATAGATAAAACGGTTTTATCTATCTATACTATTATAAAAAAGAGGTGGTTGCTGTATGTGTGTATGTGTGTATGGGAAAAGTAAACTCGAAAAATACTGGTCGGATTGGGCTGAAATTTGGCATGATGATAGCTCACATTCCCGATTAACATATAGGCATATTCTTATTTCAAAAATCCTTTCGGGCTCCGCCCCAGTGGCTCTGGAGTTTCCCATGTTAACCTTATGAGAAATGGAATTATTGAATCTTAACAGCTGTTTCAATTAAACCAGTTGGTTCTGTTCTATGATGTTCAATAGCATTAAAGTTACAAGGATTACCAACAGGGTGCAGCACTATTATTTCTTTTACATTTATGACAACAGCTAATTTGCAACCAAAAGGCAAGTGAGCGCAGCGAACGAGCTCCAACCTAAAGGTGAGTGAGCGTAGCGAACGAGCTTCAACCTAAAGGTGAGTGAGCGTAGCGAACGAGCTCCAACCTAAAGGTGAGTGAGCGTAGCGAACAAACTTCAACCAGGACGTGATTGAGCCATGCGAACGAGATAATCTTGAAAATTAAGAATTTAAACAATTAAGAATTTACAGGTTACAGCTAGTCTATGATAAAACATACTCCCTTAGTAGATTTATCATCCTTATGGAACTTTTAGAACAGCTGAAGCCAATTTTATTGTGGAGCTCTGTCTGGTGGTGCATTGTAGAGGCATGGTCAGCTTCAACTCCAAGGTTTTCTGCTACAAGGAAACTATAAACTGTATTTTTTGGTGAAATATTAATAGCTTAGTATAAAATTCACCTCAATAAATTTGCCTAGTTTGATCAAAATATATCCATAAACAAGCAAACTACAATATTTTACCATTCACCATAAGAATAGCAAGGGGATTTTAAATTTAAAATTTTTTCTAAGGTGTTTTTTTAAGCTCTTTAAAAAGGTCTAGAGAGAAATGCTGGTTCTCAAACTCATTCAAGTTTATCCCGCCTTACACCTTTAAACCAAATTTCAAAATGGGACAAAAACTACTCAAGTTATCACATTCACGGTCGTATATATATACATATAAAAATTTGAACGAATTGTGTTTTTGGCCATGTTTGGACATCAAAATGAAAAAGTAAATCCGTCCCGGGCTTAGGTCTTACTGTGCCACCTACGGTAAGAGCTACTTCCCTATAAGGAAATTCGCTAAAACTGAAAAGAGTAAGAAAATAAGCCGAAATAATACAATGATAAGTAATTATTTTTTTGATACCCCAAAGTTTTATATTTTGTAAAAACCCTATGTTTGTTGTATACGCCATACAATTGTAAAATTTTTGTCATATATATTTCCGATTACTTTGGAAGCAATGTTGTCAAATACTGACATGTTTTTTTACTTTCTCCCCCTATAACTTATACATAGTATATGGAGAAAGTATTGTTTTCGTAAACATTTTAGATTTTTTGTTTTGAGTAGATCCGTTTTGGGTCTCTCTGCGCCCAAAAAAGTGTTTTTCGATCTGATGTCTGTGTGTGTGCACGTGTGGAAGTGTACATAGCTACAGACCACACCTGTTGTCCAATTTTTATGAAATTTGGAATGTAAGTACTAATCCATTATATCTCCAGGTGTTTTCATTTTTTATATCTTAATTTTTAATGGCGGTTTTCCCATAAAACCAATAAAATAACAGGAAAATTGGACTTTCTAAAAAATGACCTGAACAATTTTGATAAAAAATGTAGTATGTTATAGTCCTTTAAATTCTGAACTAAATTGTAAAAATCCCATTTCTGTAAAAAACAAGGTTCAAAAGTTATTGTAAATTATGTTATTTTCCCTTTATTTTCCCCTATAAAATAAGAGAAAATAGTATTTTTGTTAAAACAGGTTTTTACTGAAATTAGTATGTGATGGTCCTTATAATTCTTAACAACATAGGGCAACCTCCCATTGCTGTAAACAATATCGTTTGAAAGTTATTGCAACTTATGTGATTTTTTTTCCCTATAAAATGTTATACTCCCACGCTTACCCATTGATAAAGGTTTTTGACAAGCTTATGGGAGAAAGTATGTGTCAGATTGCTGATAACGTTTATTTTATTATCTTTTCGGAAATATTTTACATTGTGCCGGTTTTCCGTTAGATTACCAGAATAAAATGCTACACACGATTAATTTGCTATTAAAAAATTATATAGCGTATAACGCAAATTAACATTAGTAATAATACGTACCATATATCATCAAGAGTAATAAAATAAAATGTAGAGTTGAAATAATAGCTACACAGTAGTTATCTATATCTATAAAAGAGGAACTATGTATGTATGTATGTATGTGTGTGGTATATACGTCATGGACTCCGAAACCGCTCGACAGATTGTAATGAAACTTTCAGGCATTATTAAGCATCTTTCAAGGATGGTTCGAGTGAAGTTTGGTGCAGATCCGTCAAAAGGGCTCTCCCCCAGAGGGTTTTAAGTGGGCCAATGTCAGACTTTTTGATCTACAATGTTTACAAATAAATAAAATTTAAAAGCAGATGTTTACTTTCACCAACTCTGTTTTGTAGGTTTGAATAATCACAACATTCTGTCATTAGCAGTCATGATTTGAAATAGTGCCACAGTGTTTCTACAGATTGCAGCACAGAAAACTATTTTACTTTTGAATAAGTCCAAATGTATTAAACCCCAATCGCAGCACACCTGTGCACTTAACAACGTTTAAATTCTCCAATGTTAAATATTAAAATATAAAAACCTTTATCAAAGTACTGTATTATAAACAATAAAAGGGATGATTTTTTTTTTAAATTTATGACAACAGCTAATTTGCAACCAAAAGGTGAGTGAGCGTAGCGAACGAACATCAACCTGGAGGCGAGTAAGCGTAGCGAACGAGCTAACCTGAAAACAAGTGAGCGCAGCGAACGATTTCCAACCTGAAGGTGAGTGAGCGTAGCGAACGAACCTCAACCAGGACGTGATTGAGCAATGCGAATACTTATGAAGTTAAGTGGGGCAAAGCCCGCGGGTACAGCTAGTATACAATATAATCCTTACACGAGTTGCTAATTCTTTCACGACCATTGCTCGTTGTGTTGCTAAATAGCCTTTTTTTCTCCACAACTGCCAGCAAGATTAAATAAATGAATTGCTACTCAACTCTGGCGAGAGAAAGAAGAGAAAACTCCGAAACATAAAACATACACTGACACTGTTGTCGTTGTCTGTTGTGTGTGTTTGTGACGTTCCGAGTTTTCATTTCGTGAGGGTTTTTAGGGTTGGCCCGTGCGTCATGAAGTAGTTTATTGTAAATTTGATATGTTGTAAATTTTTATCTAATGTGCTATACATCTTTTGAAGCTCTATATCTATCCACACATGGGTAAGTATTATAAAATTAACCTCTGTCATTAAGTAGGTTACAAAAAGATTACTTCCTAGGAAACAAATCTAGCCCATCTCAGCATTGTTGTTATACAGTCTAAAGAACAAAGTTTATATTTTTGATTTTCAGCAAACCTATTTGAAGCAGTTGTTGAATTTGATTACAAGGCTCAGGAGCCTGATAAACTGACTATCAAGAAGGGTGAAATGATAAATTGTTCGTAGGCTATCAGTAAACAACCTGGTGGTTGGTGGGAAAGGAACCTTAAGTTAAGTTTAGTTATTACTGGAAAGAGAGGATGTTTCCTGATAATTTTGCAAAGGTTTGTAGCTTATATATTTTCATTTTCAATTGCTCTGCTTGGAATTTTTCTTAAATTCTTGGAGCGAAAATGGGGCACACTTCTGTACCTGTTGTCAGAAAAAAACCGAATGAAAGATTATGCGATTTTCATTCGGTTGTTTTTGACAACAGATACGGAAGTCTACCGTACCCCAAAAATAGAGTAATGTGTTAGAACAATTTTTCAGCCAGTGACATGGGAAGTTGACAGTAGCAAATTAACTTACTTAGGCCTAACTTAAATATTTGAGTTAGCCTCATAATTCTCTTATTGATAGCCTATTAAAAAAACCCTACTTTACTTTTCATAACAACATCAAGTAGGTAGATCAGGTTCTATTAAAACTTAACTTATTCAGCAGAACTTGGGGATATAACTTAGGACTACCCCCTGGTTAAATTCGGTTCGAGGCACATCCTCAAAACATGGGTTAGTACAGTACCGCTTTCCTAAAAATCACAACTATCACAATTAGGCTACACACCCACTGTACATTATCTCTCGTCTAATGATGCCACTGGCATCAAAATTAAGAAACAAATCCAGGCCTATTGCTTGTGCATTGATTAATAGGCCCTAACTTAATGAATGTTTTCAATATTGATCTCACCGATATAAGGGCTGGAGCGCACTAGCCCGACTACGACCAAGAAATGCCAGACTGGTCGCCACCATGCAACAAGAGCACGACCCGACCAAGGCAACGAATGTTCACCATACTTCAGTGTCAAGATGGATGTTGAAGAAGTGGCTGAATGAGTAACGTTCTGACGTCCAATTAACATCAGCGTGATCTCCTCCAAAGCTTCTTTCTTCACCCCCTCCTTTGGCATAATCTGCTGATAGATCCCATAAAAAGGACCTTTCTTTAATAGCCATAATAAAACTCTCAGTGTCAAAATCCTACCACACTTTATAAAATAAGTCACTTCACAAACCACACAAAAGCAATTGATTTACCGTTTGATTGATCTAGGAATACTGGGGGTTGAGCGGTGTACTGGTTTGGTTACAATCTGTTCTATTTTTGGCTGCAACAACCAGCGAGTCCTGACCAAACTGCAAGGACTTTGGCCGTGTGACCAGGGTCCGACCAGTCGACCAGTGCACGCTGTTCCATTTACGCCTACTATAAAACTGGTCGTATACGACTGGACGTGGTCGTGGTTGGGCTAGTGCATGCCAGCCCTTAGCAAAAGGCTTAATCATTGACTTGAGACTGTTTACCAATTGATCAAATCCTGTAACTTATCCTAAAGCTCTTCTCGGTACGAAACTAAGTTAGTTTGCAGTATCATTCACGTGAAACTAAGTTAGTTTATTGCTAACCCTATAAATCAACCAGACATTTTTTTTCTCTTTAAATGTTAATGTAGGTACAAATTTCTTATCATAAAGTGTAGGGTAACTTAACCCATTGGCGCCGACTTACGAGCGTTACTCGTACGGCCGCTTTAGGGCTGGCGGCCAACTTACAAGTGCTGCTCATGTCACCGCTACGCAGCGCCATTAGTTATTTAATTATTATAATTTCCCCCCAATTTGTTTCTTCTTACTTTTAAATTGTTTATAAATATTGCTTGGTAGTAGCTAGTAAATATGCAATGTTAAAAATACAGGTACAAGCAAAAAGTATCAAACAACTGTTATCTGCCTGGAGCTATAGTCTAAAATGGCATTTTACATATCTATGTTAACCCTTTGAGTGTCAACGTCCGGGGAACCGGACGTTTTTAAAACGAGCCAAAAGTGCCGACGTCCGGCCGACCGGACGTTTTTAGAACGAGCCAAAAGTGCCAACGTCCGGCTGACCGGACGTTTCGTAATGATCGAACAGTTGTCATAACAACCGAATGGATACTCGGATTCTTTTAACCCATATATTAACATTGAGTCGAAAGTTACTAGATCCAATACATCGATTTTCGTTGGTCGAAATATCGAAAATTCGATTTTTACCTAAAAATCGCCAGATCGCGCTCGGCATTTTTAGCGTGACCTTCGGGAAAAATCATCGGCATTTTTTGAGCGTTACTTTTATTTCTCGCCTGGCACTCTAAGGGTTAAACCATTGCATTTTATTTTTTATTTCCATTGGGTGCATGGTGGGGGTTAACGTTCTTAACATTTGCCGTCCTTTTATTGTATTTATAACTTATTTCATCCATTCATCACAAACTTATTCAAAACTTCTACATGAACTCATTTATCCTCACATTGGAGTTTTTAATTGCTTCTCTGCATTAGGCTATTGTGTTTAGTATTGTACATTTTTTGTCTATTGATTAGTATGTCATTGACAGTTAGTTTTACACTTTTTATAAGAGAATGGTCCAAATCCTAAGTAGTAAAAACCAGGTCCATTGCTTTTTTTAATTATTATTTTTTTAGAAAAAAATTGTTTGCATGTTAAATTCTAGTCTCTGTTGTTGTTCCATATAGGCCTAACTTTAATGGTAAAAAATCACAACCTTGGTACCTGCTTGAAAGACTTGGTTGTTATCTTTATTTTTCCAAACACTGAAGTAATCTCAGCGTGCGCACCCAATGTGTTTAAATATCAGTGCGCCTGATGAAGTATTAAGGACAAATTACCTTGGGGGTACAGTCTATTTTTCCTCAAATTTGTTGGCAAGTGTTAGGAATAGGGTAAGTTTACTCGTTGGGAAAATATTAACTTTTAAGACAAAATAAGTAAAAAACTTAGTCATTTCAATGTAAAAAGTAACCTATTTGTCTACAGTGTTAGCTGCTACCGGTACTTGTAACCTTGAGGCTGGTGTTATTGGAGATATGCAAAACATCCTTTTGGCACTTGAATATTGTTGTCCATGCCATGGCAGGCAGTAGAAAGTATCCTATTGATATTCATGTAGCAAGTTGTGTCTAAAATTGCTTACTAGAGCTGGTGTTTCAGGTTTTTGAGCTTGGAGATTCCACAATGGATGTGCCATTAAGAGCTGGTAAGATTTAAATTTAGTTTGTCTTATAGATCTCAATCACATATTATATTAAAACATAACACTTTAAAATATATCTCTTGTGTACTTTTTTTATCAGCCTGCCAGTAACTTACTTAGGTACTTTGGTAGGCCACCCTTATACAGCGCGCTGCGGTGGTTATTTTAGGTTAGGTTATCATAAATAGAAAGTAGGCCTATGAATGATCTGGTATCGTTCGATTCATAACAAAACGAGGAAATTCCTACAAACATAATTATGATAACCTATCACAGTGCGCTGAAAGTAGGCCTATGACTGATCTGGTATCGTTCGATTCATAACAAAACGAGGAAATTCCTACAAACATAATTATGATAACCTATCACAGTGCGCTGTAAAATATTTGGCCCCCGTATAATACCAAAGTACCCTTACTTACATAATTCTGGATAAAATAGGTTACATTTGAAAAGTTGATGTATATTTAAATAACTTTCTTTTTATTAAATTCCATTTTGTAGCCCCTGAACTGCGTAGTATAGACTAAACTTTACATACCTCGTCTTGCAGTTCAAATATAGTGTTTGAAGTCCACTACCTACATATGTTTCGCCATATATGGCATTCTCAAGTGGTTACAAAAACATTTTATCCAATTTGGACTCCTATATTTCTTTTTATGTCATAACTCCTATTTGTATTTTTAATTAGTTTACTTTTTAATTAGTTTTTGTATTCAAACTTTAGGTCATATTTGCCAGTGTTCTTAAACAATCTATTATATTATTAAAGTGTTACAATCAAATTTTATGTAAACGGTTAAGGCCATTTACCAAATATAAATATAGGCATATGGCATATCAAAATGAAGCTTAGAGTGTGTAGATTTGCCGAAAAGTATTGATATGGATGAACTCCCTAAGGGCTCTGCCCCACAGGCTGATTTACAAAGGGCTGACGCCTTGCATGTTTTGGAAGTTAATGTTATTTCATTAATTTAGTGAACAACAGCTGGCCAATGCAATTGACAATAGTTTGTTTGTTTAAATTTTTGTTTACTTACTTTTACTTTTATGTTCTTTCTTAAAAGAGGTGAGGTGAATGGACAGTGAAGCTATTTCTAGCTGTTATAAAATGTTATACATGTGATACAAGTGAGTGATTAAAGGTGTTCGAAACACGATGAATAAACACGATTAACAAACCATGTATGTTGTTCGTTCCAAGATGTCGTCACCGATCTTTAACAGGTCACCATTTCATTGAAAAGTATTCAAGTATAAAAGACGTGATAGAGAGCAATGAATTCAGGTACAACCGTACCCACCTCGGCCACCTTAGGACGTAAGGTATGAAGGTTCCACTGCTTTTAACATCCGTTCAGATGACAATTTCTCAAACTCGGGCCCTTTTAAATGAAATATCAAGTCAAAGTTGATTAAATTAAAACTTAATGGTGGTGTCTGTACACCCGTGAATTCGCGGGTAGAACCTCTTGTTAATTATTAAAAAGCTAAGTCTGTTGCAGAATTATTTATTATTTTTGTGTTGTCAAACTGCAAAAACACAGGATTGAATTTGACTAAAGGTTACATAAAATAGCCTTTAACTTGATGCTCTTGAGTGTTGTGTCACAGTGTAAGATCCTGTTGATATATATTGTTAATACAGATATATAATCCTAAATATACATACCCTATGTATTGCCTGCAGTTCCTGGCCGCAGATGCAAAGTTCTGTTCAGCTATCAGCCGGCCAATGATGATGAGTTGGAGCTGCAGGTCGGCGATCTCATAGACATCCTATCAGAGGTGGAGGAAGGATGGTGGCGAGGAAAGTTAAATGGACAGGTAAGATTTTATTTATAAACAACTTGGTAAAACCCGTCGTAATCAAGGGTTAGGTACTTTTATGTTTAAATAACAACAATCCAGCTTACTGTAGCATTCATAGTATAGAAAAAGTGAAACTTACTGGATCGCTCTCGTTTTCCAGTAAGGCCTTTGTTGTGACGTTTTAACGTACCGTACCTACTCAGAGTTTGAGGCATAGGGTCATTAACGATTGGAACATGATAATCTTCTTCTTCGTTGTGGGAATCTGTTAGCTCAAGAGCAATAACCGGAATGTCAAAATCCAAATCCAAGTGCATGTCCATCTCAGTTGGCTGCCTTGACGTCGACAGTTGAGGGCTGGATGTTCTGAGTTTCTTTGATTGTCTATAAATTAAATTTGGTATTTATAAACTTAAGCTGATGTTACTTAAGATGTTACTTAAGATGCTGATGTTGGTGAAACTTAAGTGATGTTTACAACATTCTGCATTCTTTAGCTAACTTAGAAGATTCTAGGCACTTTTGGGGGAAATGCGGGTTTCCTCCCGAGATTCCCGTTTTAGTTTGCTATATTTTAGGCATGTGAAGTTAGTTTAGATTTGGAAGATTGTTTTTACCTAATCCAACTTCTTTCAAAAGACTATTGCTGTCACGAATTTGCATAAAAAACTACACAATCTACATGGTTTTTAAGACATCAAAAAGGAACTTGCCGACGTAATAGAGTTTGGTTATGTTAGGATATTTCAGTTTAGGTTGGGTTCCATTCGGTTAGCTGTTATTGGCAGTTTAACGCTTATGTAGGTTAAAATACCCGTGCATTACACAATGAAAATATTCATCATCAAGCCTTGTAAAACTCTTTGTTTAAAGCGATTACTGAATCGCTCTCGTATTCCAGTATGACTTTCCTTGCGATGTTTCAACGTACTTGGAGTTTGAGGCATTGGTCTAGATAGAGAAATAAGTCCTAAAGGGGTAAATTAAATAAAAACTGTATAACTGCTCAACAACTTAGTACCGGTACACAAAAAATACCCCCGCCGCAGCAAACCTGCAGACTAAGCGAATTTCCATTTGCCTGATTGGATTTACACTAAAATGCCTCCTTAAAAATATCACATTTATTCCCTATTTAAATAACATTAGTTTAACGAGTACTTAGGTTTGCTGCAACAGGGAGGGTAAAAAGGTGTTTTTGTAAAATGTTAATAGCTTAGTATGAAATGAATGCATTATCCAAATTTGATTAAAATATGATCATAAACAAGCAAACTACAACAGTTTACTTATTCTCCATAAGAATAACATGGGAATTTTTAATTTACAGTTTTTTGGAATTTTCTCCGTAACCATTAGGCGCATAATAACGCTTCAATATACTAAATTATTTGTTTTTTTAAGCTCTACAAAATGGTTTGGAAAGAAATTGCTAAATTTTATGTTTTTTGGGTCAAAAATGCGAAAAACCTATTTTTACCCCATAAAACCCCGTTCCCATGGTCCGATCATGCTGGATCGCGAACTCGTTCGAATAAACGTAGGTTTACACGTTTGTACCAAATTTCATCAAAATCGGATCATTTTTGCTCGAGTTATCGTGCTAACGGACACATATATATATATATATATATATACTAGCTGACCCGGCGAACTTCGTATCGCCTAAGTTATAGGTTTCCCCTAAGACAGACCGATGGAAAGAAAGTACCGTTACGTTTAATTTTCAAGATGATCTCGTTCGCATCGCTCAATCACGTCCTGGTTGAAGTTCGTTCGCTACGCTCACTCACCTTTGGGTTGGAGCTCGTTCGCTACGCTCACTCACCTTTAGGTTGGAGCTCGTTCGCTGCGCTCACTTGCCTTCAGGTTAGCTCGTTCGCTACGCTAACTCGCCTCCAGGTTGAAGTTCGTTCGCTACGCTCACTCACCTTTTGGTTGCAAATTAGCTGTTGTCATAAATGTAAAAGAAATAATAGTGCTGCACCCTGTTGGTAATCCTTGTAACTTTAATGCTATTGAATATCATAGTACAGAACCAACTTGTTTAATTGAAACAGCTGTTAAGATTCATTAATTCCATTTCTCATAAGGTTAACATGGGAAACTCCAGAGCCACTGGGGTGGAGCCCTTTTAAGAATTTCGAAACGGGAAATAGTTTACGTCCGATTCGCATACCTACAGAATTTACACACCAAATTTCATAACGATCGGTGAAGTCGTTCCGGAGGAGTTTGCAGACAAACACTGTGACACGAGAATTTTATATATTAGATATATAAATATATAAATATATATATATTTATCTTATCTTATCTGACAGGGGCAGGTCGAGACCTTAAAGCACTTCATCCGAAATCGAATTATTGCGCACCCCAGATACTTAATTGCTTTCTTGTTGACCTACAAGTTGAGGCGCCCAATGAATGCCTGTAGCTTCCCAATTAGTTCATCCTCAGGAAGAAATCTACCTCTAGCCATATTTCCAAGAGTTATCGATCTAGCGTCAGAGAGCTCAATACAATCAAAGAGTAAGTGATCAGCTGTCTCTTCTGACCTATCACAGTACCTACAGATCGGTTCACCATCATATAAGCCCATCCGTTGTAGATGTTTCCTGAATCTTCCATGACCAGTTATCAGTTCAACAATTAATTTAATTCTTCGTCTGTCTAGTCTCAAGAGGTCACAGGCAACCTTTTTGGAAGGCCTAAACAGAGTAAGCTTGCTGACCCTAAGAAGGGGAACATCGACCCAGCGTTTGCGATGCTTTTCCTTGGCCCATGACGCAATCGCAGAACAAACACTGTTTCGTGAGATGCCACAGAAGGGTTGCGGGCCTAACAATGATGTCGCAGAGGCAGTATTTGCCAATCTGTCTGCAGCTTCATTTCCTTCAATGCCTGAGTGTCCTGGTACCCAGCAAAGCGTAAGGTCATTTCTCCTACCCAACTCAGACACAGAAGCAAGACAATCCCACACGAGCCTGGAGTTGAATTCGTAAGAGTTTAATGCTTTTAAGGTCGCTTGACTATCAGTAAAGATATTGATTGTTTTGTCTCTGATATCTTTGTTAAGATGTTCTTGAGCACAAACTAGAATGGCAGTGACCTCCGCTTGAAAGACAGTTGGGTACACCCCCATTGGAAGACAAATACCAGTGCCTCCATTCATCCAATGCACACCTGCTCCAGTGCCCCCATTTTTGATCTTAGAACCATCAGTATAGCATTCTAAGTCACCTGTGGGTATGGGTCCTTTTCCGCCAGACCAATCCTTCCTATCTGGTATTAGTACTTTGAAAGGCTTTCCAAAGGAGTATTTTTTGGACATGTGATCTGAAGGTAAGTCCAATTCATCATTATGTACCACCTGAACAATTTTAGAGTGCCCTTTATTGTTCCCTGAGGCTATCCATAAGTTTTCGCATCTAAGGCGTTGGGCTGTTTTACTTGCTACCACCTTAATATAAATGTCAATAGGTAGCATGTCAAGCAGACAGTCAAGTGCCGCTCCAGGACAGCTACTTACTGCCCCAGTTATCATAATAAGAGCAAGCCTCTGAACTCCTGCTAAAGCTTTGACAGCTATAGTTGATTCCATCTTTGGCCACCACACAAGCGAACCATATGTAAGGGCGGGTCGAACAACAGATACATACAGCCAGTGCATAAGTTTAGGCTGTAACCCCCATGTGCCACTTACCATCCGCCTGCATGCCATAAGGGACCATTTGCCACGCTCAATGACTTTTTGAAGGTGTGGTCCCCAGTGAAGTGATCTGTCCAAAATTACACCAAGATACTTCACCTGATTCTGCAGCTCTATTACAGTACCCTGCAGTCTTAGTGGGCCGATCCCGTCCAGTTTCCTCCTTCTTGTGAAGGGTACCATTACAACTTTCCTGGGATTTATAGAGAGCCCAACATCCTGGCACCAACGGTCCACTACCCTTAAAGCTCTATTCATAAGGTCAGTTATGGTTCCGTGGAACTTTCCAACCACAAGGATTGCAACATCATCAGCATAACCTAAGGCGAAAACCCCACTTTCGTTGAGGGTCCTTATAAGGTCGTCTGCTACCAAATTCCAAAGTAGAGGAGAAAGAACCCCCCCCCTGAGGACATCCTCGAGTAGTTCTTGCCTCGATCGTATCATTGTGGAGTGAGAGCCTAACCTTCCTACTGAGAAGCAAGGATTCAATCCATCTACATATTATACCGTGAAAACCTCTTGCTCTCACCGCATTAAGAATCGCTGGAGTACCAGTATTGTCAAAAGCACCTTGAATATCGAGAAAGGCACCCAGGGCCACTTCACTGCTCTCTAGAGCTTTCTCAATCTTGCTTACAAGTTGGTGCAACGCAGTCTCGCATGATCTTCCTGAGACATACGCATGCTGATTAATATGTAAAGGATGTGTCCTAAGAGCTGTATCCATCATATATCTTGAGACCAACTTCTCTAGGATCTTAAGAAAGAAAGAAGATAGAGAAATGGGTCTGAATGACTTAGGGTCAGTGTAACTATCCCTTCCTGGTTTAGGAATAAATGCGATACGCGAATTACACCACCCTAAGGGAATGTGTCCTAACGCTAAGCTGGCTCTGAAAAGTTTACAGAGTGGGTGTATAATTGTATCAAGACCCTCCTGCAAACAAACAGGTCTTACCTCATCAGGACCCGGCGATTTGAAGGGTCGTAATAAGCCAACAGCCCATCTTACCTTGCTGAAGGTGACTATGCGGCAAGCAGTGCTCCACATAGAATGAGTGGCACGACGGCCCAGGTTAGGCCGCTCTGGACTCACCTCCTCCTGCTGCACTTCAGAAACAATACAACCAGGGAAATGAGTTTTTACCATAACCTTTAGTATTTCGGTAGGTTCAAAAGCCATTACACCATCCGGTCCCTCAACGGCACCCAAAGTAACATGCCTGTCTCTAACAAGTACCTTATGTATTCTAGAAGTATCCTTGATACTCTCTAAATTTCCACAAAAATTTTTCCATGA